GGGGGGGGGGGGGGGGTTGCGTTCCTTTGTAGTGGGGGGCATGGCCTCTAACCAGGATCTCTTGAGCATCTTCACAACATTTCATAGAAGCAGGATGTTGGCTGCCAAGGAGAAAAAGTGCTTTCCCTATTTTTTATGGCAGCCTTTCAAGTATTTGAAAACTGCTATTATGTCCCCTCTTAAAACTAACTGTCCTTTCCTAGATATCTTTTTATCCAGGAAGCCTCTTCCTCTTTCATAAAATAATCTTAGCAGAATCATGCCCTTACTTAAAATGTGTATTAGAAATAATTATAAATGAAATCAAACTATATACCAATAGGTATTAAGCTAAGATATGGGAAAAGCATTTCAATGCACCCACTCAAACAGAACTTTCTTAGACCAAGTTTATACAATCAATAATGCTGTCAAATTTTTTGACAAGCTGCACTATATAAAAGCACTCAAAAGCAGTCAAATTACTTTATGCAAGCTGTCAAGAACAAGCTAGGATAAAGTGGACCCATTAAAAAATTTCTAATAATTTTGAAGAAAGTTGATGTCATCAGTAGTAATAAGAGAATTAATGGTACATGAGAGAAAAAACAAGATCTAGAAGAGTCGGATGCTGAGAACAGAAAAGAGCAAGTAGAATAAGTCAGTTGAGAACCTAAGGCCAACTATACACTAGCTGGACATCTGCTCTGACACGCATGCATCAGAACAGACTTGATTAACTGAGTCTGCTGGAGCATGCTAATTAGCACACTCCAGCAGCCTCCACTTCAAGTGTATTCAGTGTCCCTGCACTTCAAAATAGTGGCGGGGTGCTTTAACTGAAGTTTGAAGAAGCTTTAGTTAAAGTGCCTCCGCTGCCTTTTTGAAGCATACAGTGCTGAATACCCAAGATGCTGCAGGCACTTTAAAATAGAGCATCTCTCAGTGCTGCTCTAATTAAATCGCACCCCCGCCACCCAAACCATTTAAAGATGCCCTAAGATTATAGCCAGGCACATCCCTTAAATAAACGGGGGGGGGCAGAAAAATGAGATTATATCAGTAATGTTTGATCAATCAGAAGTGGGAAGTGAAGGCATTTGTACACATGGTTGCGCTACAGCGTTGGGCACTTTTAAAAGTGCCTGGCACTGCGAAGCATGCATATATATGAATTGCAAAATGTGCATCAGTGCTGAGAAAGTGGCAGTGGAAAACATCAAAGGTGTTTTAGTTCAAAAGCGCATCGCTGCTATTTTCTGTGGCCTGACACGCATTTTGCTGCTTATACAACTGCATGCGACACAGCACAGTGCGTGTCAGTTTGTATGTGGAGCGGACTTGATTAACTGAGTCTGTTCAGACGTCACAGCACAAAAATGTACGTGTACAAATGCCTTGAGAGAGATCATATGGGGCTGTGAACCAATGGATCACAAAAAGAACTTGCTGCTGGAATGCCACAGGTAAAAAAAAATAAAATAAAAAAATTCCCCAAACTGGCCAAAAAGAATCCACAAATTTCTGGGAATTATGTATGAGAAACGCTTAAGTTTTCAACTACAGTGCATCCATATCCTTTGAAGGGTACCATGAGGTGCAAGTAGACAAGTCCAGGCTCAGAACTGTCCCTGCCTGGCTGATCTCCCACCTCCACTGCCTGGTCCCTCTGCAAGGAGGTAAACACTGTAATACATAAATAACTTTTTTAAATTGGGTGCCACTCAAATCACAGAAGTTAGGCAGCAGTTCCTCAAGTCCAGTGAAGGGTATCTCGAGTTTAAAAAATTGAGACCCACTATTCTGAAGTGCAAGTGTAGTTTGACAAAGAGTTGTCAAAGCATAAGGAATATTTACTTCCTAGGATCATTGGGGCATATTTTACTTACAGCTGCAAACATAAAGCATGTCTTCTATGAAAATAATATACCCTGGATTCTACTCCAGAGTAACTTAACTCTATAGCAAAGAGCAGGCACACATCTAGCTCTCCCAAGCTCTCTGCCCAAAGCAGGCTCTATTACAACACCTGGTCTCTAGATAGCAAAGGAGCCAGTTTGCACTGAGCAAATGGCTAACACAATGTAATATTGACAATGGGAGGAGATGCACTGCACTGGCAATGGAGTAACTTTCTCTGACCTTCCCAGGAACATCTTTGTACCAAGCAGGACTTCTTCCAGGGAAAATTGTGTCATGTACCCACTACACTTTTCTTTTAGAGCAATTAAGAGCACACTGAATGGCATGTGCTTGTACCCCAATTCCTGGTCTGTCAGAGCTCATGATATAGCAAGTGCTTTAAAACACAGAAGATGCAGCCAGTGATCTAGTTATTTGTGTTCTAACAAATCTCACTGCATGTGGAAGGACCTTGGAACTGATGTTAGGAGCAGGTATTAAAGAAAAATAAAATAGTGGAGGAAAGATGGGAAAAGATTATATAGCATTTCATTAAATTTTTCTTTCTGTTAAACATGTCACTACTCCATTGATAACTCTGGTCACATTTAACATGTCCATCCCCACTTTTTGTCTATTTATGAGAAGCATATAGCATACTGGGGGCACTAATGCAATTACAATATTTATTTTTATCATGAAGTTTAGAAGTGATATAAAGTTAGTCCCAACAGAACAGATGCAAAGGTACAGAGAGGGCTAGAAAAGGCTGCACAGATTAAGCTGAATGATAACCATCTTTGAAATTTAATTATCTCATTTTGCACTAAGACAATACATGACTTATGAAAAAAAAAGTATAAGAAAAATCAACCTATCAACTCCAAAACACTGAACAACTCCAACACCCATGTGGGATATGAAAGATCCAGATTCAAAAGTCCTAATTTAGACAACAGACCTTGAAAATAGTTTTCCTATATCTAGTGACAGCCTTTTCCCTCATGATTATTAAATGTTCTAGGAGGAGTTGGAGGCTGTCTCTTGTTTTCAACAGAACGGTTACTTTGGATTTAAGGAATCTTTCCCAATACAAATACTATCAAAACTGGTGCAACTCAAAAAAAAGTTTTGATTTCCAAGGCCAAAAAAGTGTTTTAGACAAATCAATCTTCACTTGAAAAATTCCAGAAGAGCCCACTCAGGATTCCCTCTTAGTCTCCACTACTGATAATATTTTCTTACCATCCTTTTTCTCTTGTATTCTGATATCCTCAATATGTGGACACCAGAGATAGAGACTTGAGATGGCATACATACTCCACACTTAGGTAAGCCTACAGGCAATTCATTATTACACAAGGTACATGTAGCCAAAACAGGAAGGATTGAACCCTCTTAGCATAATACTTGAAGCTGTTTATCCCCAGCCAAAGGAAGCCAAGAGTAGTTTAACCAGGGGTGGCCAAGGAGGGGGGTCACTATCAGGCACTGAGAAGGGGTGACAGAATGGCAAGCCTCCTTCCCCCCCACCCAAGGCATCTATGCCAGCAGCAGCAGTTCCATATTGCTACTACAGCAGCAAATTCATACTTGTAACACTTCCACAGAATATATTTAGTCACACAAAATGTCCAAGTTGCAGTATCTCAAAGCAGGAAGGACTGCTCATTTAACCACCAGAAAAGCTATTTAACTTTAGAAACCCAAATCCTTCTTTTACAGCTGAAACTAAAAAAAATAAAAATAAAATAAAATAGTACCTGCGAGTCCGTGGAGGTTTTGGTGGAGGAGAATCTGGTTTCTCAAGGTCTGAGGAACTGACGGTATTCTCTGTATTAATATCATTCTGAAAAAACATTAAATATATTTTATTAGAGAGCTGAAAAAATCATAATCACTAAAACAGGATACTTAAATTCCTACCTGTTCCTAGAACAGAATGAAGTGCCAAAACAATCCCTATAAAAAGTATGAACTAAGAGCACCAAGTCAAGCCACTTACACCTGCATCAAGCTTTCCAAGTTTTATATATAAAGATTCTTATCTGAATTCATGGGGGAGCTTATAAGAGAATATAAGAAATACCGAGTAATTACTGAGAAATTAGTTTGGTCCTGAAAATAAAGCGTTTCGCAGACTGGCTAATCTCCCAAATTCTGTCAGGTATACAAAGTAAAATTTCACTGTTTCCCCTTACACAATCAGTTCATTCCTTGCCACTTGAGTCTCGCACGGCAACAGAAATATTAAACTATAAATACATACAATTTAGACAATGAAATGTAATTATTTCTAATTCTTTCATAAAAAGGGAGACTATTTGAAACACAGTTCTTTTAGAAAACTGAACAAAAAATAGCCATGTTCTGTTGCCTTATCTAGTAAGCTACTCCAAAATATTTTTTTTTTTCCTTTCAGACAAAAAATGTAACATTTAAGTTCAGTAAAACTGCAGCATGCACACACAAAGCTGATACAGGTTCTTGTAAACGCAACTTTCTTAACCAAGCGCCCAACAATTCTGAGAGCAACTCAGAAGTTGGCACACCAAGGAGCACATGCACAATATTCCTAAAAATGACACTTGTTGCAAGTTTTCTTCTAAAAGTTTTTTGGAAGAAGAAATGCCATTATCTCAGAAACAAGATGTAATGCCAGTGTCAAGTGGCATAGTTTACTGTGTTCTAGCTCACCAGTTCAGACTATGATCCATGGCAGTCATGACCAGCTACTGCCTTCTAATTACTTTGGAACAATTCACAGATTCTGAAGCCAGAAGGGACTACTGTGATAACCTATTCTGACCTCCTGCATAATATCAACTTCACTGTATTAATTCCTGCTTGAACTTCAGTACATGTGTGTTCGATCTACAGCAGTGATTCTCACTTTTTGGGGTGCTAAACACCTTTAAGTTTATATTACTACTGGTACCACTAAGATTCCAGGCTACTAGTAATAAAATTAATTCTTCTTCAGCACTACCTTCCAGTTGAGAATGAATGTCTTCCATGACTGTCTTACTTGCTTGTCCCAAAGATGGCTACTGAGGCCTATCTGGAATAGACAGACTCTACTGCAGCTGTGTGGGGCGTGGGGTAGGTGGTGCTGGATTCTTCATTTGGTCCACAACACACTCTTGCTGCTGCTCCCGCTTTTCCATCTCCTGTTGTTGTCATGAAGTTTCAGAGGACCAAGATCCTTGCAGCAAACTCTTCTTCCATTTGGGGCAGTCCTGGGCCATAACCTCCCACAAGTTGATATCAACGTTGAATTTTTATAAGCAGGAGCAGAGCAGATCCTGAAGAGGGCTGCTTAATCACAGTTACAGCTGCCAAATCATACTCCTCATCCAAGTGCTAGATGACCTTCACGCAACCTTCATGCCAGTTCATGACTAGGAGTTTCCAGACCTCACAAGTCTGCTCCCATTGCCATTACTTAGTCACCAAAGGGCTTGAAGAATGTGCTGGAAAAGCAGTTTTAATGGAAAATGCCTGCGTGTGACTTCTTTTATCGTGGAGAAGCTGCCGCACATCAGCTTCCACATGGCTCTTGACAGAATGGCACCTTAATCTGAGGATCTAATGAGACCAAGACAGCTGGGGACCTTGTTCTGCTGCAGCTCATATCCACCTTCACAGCTGCTGAGATTCTAACATCTTCTCCTGCCTGCTCTGCTGTTGAGGACTCGTAGACCCATGGCTGGAGGCAGGGCAGGCTTATTATAGGAGTGACCTGTACTCACCATGTCACAGCACCATTGGGAGGGAAACCATTGCCAACTGCTGTCCTCACTACATCCTGGTGGTGCTGCCATTGCTTATTCGTCAGGATTATCCCTGCCTTTCCACAGCTAACCTTCCATGAAGATCATTTGACTATCCGCCACCTGCAGATGTGCTGGGTAGTAGTACAGCTCTGCCCCACAGAATAAAATTAACACTGTCACTACAACCACATAATAACTTCAACAACCCAGGAGGTGCTGTAGACTCTTCCCCTCCCCTCCTAACTTTCCTCCACGCATTACCGGCTCCCTTCTGCTTTCCCATGCCTTCCCCTCAAACTCTATAGAAGTTTGTGATGTACTACCAGGGAGCACATATAACCTACAATGAGAAATAATAAACTAGAACACCTCTTCTGGAAAGAGCCAATTCTTATTTTTAAAAATTTCCAGTGAGGAGTATATCATAACCAAGGGTGTGTTACCCCAAATAGCCAATAACCAGGGATCCTAGTTTTCTCTGTCTAAAAATCACAAGTTATCCAATTAAAAAAAAAGAAAACCTTAATTCTCTGATTAAAAAACCCCAAATCCATGTTTTTCTGTGATTAAAATGAATGCCACTACACACACACACACACACACACACACACACACACACACACCAGTTAAACACGTTTTGTTATATTTACAATTTTAAAGCAATTTGGAAGCCTACTACTGCTTCAACCACTATAATAAGATACATTCTAAATACCTATACATTGTGGCATTTGATTTTGGGTTTATCATGGAAAAATCAGAGCTCCGCCTGCCCCCTATGCTCACCGGGATGCAAGTCCAGCTGCAGCTGTGCCCCTGGCTGCTTTACGGGGCTGAGCAGCCCCGATACGTCAGTGCCCTGCCCTTGCCTCTCACTCCCAACACGCAGCCCCCTGGCCTTGCCAGGGCCCCCCACTCCCGACCCACAGCCCCACACTCTCAGTCCCCCAGTATGTGGGGAAGGGAATGGGTGTATGCAAAACGGGTAGGGAAAGCACAGGCGATGCAGCAGGGAGGGTGGGGCAGGGGTACATGCCTGCTGCCAGGCCTAACTAGCTCTGGGCAAGAGCTGCCTCCGCAGCCCAGCAGGCAAGACTGGTGCTGGAGGGAGCACTCCGCTGCCATGGTGAGGTGTGGCAGTGGCATGCAGTTGTGCCCCCACTGTTGCCAAGCAGACGGGGGCACCTCACTTTGGTGGCACAGAGCTCCCTCCTGTGCCAGTTTCCATGAGCTGGATGGCAGAGGTGGCTTCTGCCCAGAGCTGATCCAGCTCAGCAGTAGCTCCACACCCCACTGTGGGCACAGAAATCTTGGGAAGCACATGTCCCCCTACCCCCCTAACACATGGGCTGTGGCCCCTGCCCCCTGCATAGCTTGTGTCCTTCCCCCCAGCCTGCATCGCCTCTGTCCTCCCCGTCCAACATGTGACCTGTGCCCCGCCTGCCATGTGACCTACAC